GGCAGCAGGGTGGGGGCTCTGCTGTGGTGTTGTGCTGGTGGGATGTGTCCTGACTGTGCTCTGGAAAGATGTCCAGGTCCCTCTTTGAAAGCTGAGCTGGAATTGCTGCTGAAGGCTGGGCATGGGGCTGTGTACAACAAAGGGATGCTCCCAAAGGGAAGTCTTTGGGGTGACCTAACTGTGGCCTTGCAGTACCTGAAGGGAGCTGACAGGAAAGATGCAGAGAGACTATTTACAAAGGCCTGGAGTGACAGGACGAGGGGGAATGGCTTCACACTGACAAAGAGTAGGTTTAAATTGGATATTGGGAAGAAATTCTTCCCTGGGAGGGTGGGGAGGCCCTGGCACAGGTTGCCCAGAGAAGCTGTGGCTGCCCCTGGATCCCTGGAAGTGTCCAAGGCCAGGTTGGATGGGGCTTGGAGCAACCTGGGCTGGTGGGAGGTGTCCCTGCCCATGGCAGGGGGTTGGAATGAGATGATATTTAAGGTCCCTTCCAACTCAGACCATCCTGTGATTCCTGGAAGTGTTCAAAGCCAGGTTAGGTGGAGTTCTGAGCCACCTGTTCTAGTGGAAGGTGTCCCTGTCCACAGCAGGGGCTTTGGAGCTGGATGATCTTCCAACCCAGGCCATTTTATGATTCTGTGACTGTTCTGGGGCCTGGTTCAGCTGTGACATGTTATTCAAACGCTTGAAAGTTGCTCCTGGTTGCTCCACGTGGAGCTCAGCATTGTGGAGAAACTCATCCAGAGTCACCTGGTGCCACAAGCTCCCTTCTGCTCTGCCTGTGGATCCACACACACCTCCAGCCCACCCCGAGCACATTGGAGTATCTACTCCTCTCCAGGTCACACTGATCTGAGGGTAGGGATGGCAACATTCTACTCTCAAAAACCAGCTGGAGGCTTCGGTGCCAGCTGGGAAAGCAGCTCCAAGCCTGGCAGTGAAATTTTCCATGTGCCAGCCCGTGCCTCACTGTCACACCAACGCATGGCACAGTGACTGGGTTGATGCTCAGGGCCTGGGATTGCACCCCCAGAGCAAACACCAGTGGTACTGGTGGGCTGAAATTCCTCCTGCTCCTGGCAAGCAAAACTTTGCCTCCCGAGTGCCTGGTTGTACCATTCCAGAGGACTCCTCCAGAGGCCTCTCCTCCTGAAAGGCAGGCTGTGGGTCTGGAAAACGGGAGGTTTGGAGGAACTGTTAACTGTGGGATAGGCTGTTGCTTTTTAGATAGTGTCCCTGGTTAAGGAGAATAGTCCTGCTGGGAATGGATAAGGCTCTTCCAAGGGTTTGTGTTTTATCTGCCGTGCAGAGGGTGCTGCTCAAGTTTATCTCTGCTCAGCTCTCCTTGCTCTAATTATGCATCACTGAACCATTGCTTCAGGGCGGGGCTGCTTTTACACTTTTAAGAATATTTTAGAATATTTTTTTCCCTCTTGATGTTATGTTTTTCCCTAAGAGGGATTTCCCCTTCCCCCACTCAAAAGGAAAAAACAAACAGGATTATCCTTATGGGCTTCTTTCAGAATTTTCAGACCATCTCTTTATAAAAATTCAAATCCAGAATATGCAGTTTTAATAAGGTTTAAATTCTCTTTGGTCACTGAATTTATTACCTGAGTGAAAACCCAAAGCAGAGCTGAGACTTTCCCTCTAGACCCAGAAGGGGGGGGGGGATAAAGGCAATTCAGTTTTGCTTCTTGGTTTGAACAGGCCAGATCTGTCCCAAAATCAGGCACATCATCCATGGGGTTTGGAGTGAGAGATGCTTTTAGCTGACGTTTACAATGCATGAAGAAGAAAAAGGGAGAGAAGGGAGCTCAGCATCCACTGGAGAGGTGTAAAATGTCCTCACAGATGACATTCCTGGTGAATGGGTATGATTCCATGGCCTGTGTGTTTGAAATCCTGCTGGGAGAGCTTTGCAGCTTAGAGATAATGGTGGTGGCTCACTCCTACTTACCCATCGCTTTGTCTGCTTAATGTTATTTATTTGCTTATCTGGTGCTGATGAAATTTCATCAGCCCTGTTGTAATGGGTTTAAATCTCAGCCCTGCCAGGCCTCGGAGGGCAGGCTGTAGGGAATGCTTCCCAGTGCCTTGGGAGAAAGGCATCTGTTGAGTGGACATTTCTGCAGCTAAAAGATGCTGTGGGAACCATGTGGGAGCAGGATCACAGAATCATGAAACGGTTTGGGTTGGGAGGGACCTTAAAGATCATCCATTCCCACCCCCTGCCACGGGCAGGGACACCTTCCACTAGACCAGGTTGCTCCAAGCCCCGTCCAACCTGGCCTTGGACACTTCCAGGGATCCAGGGGCAGCCACAGCTTCTCTGGGCAACCTGTGCCAGGGCCTCCCCACCCTCCCAGCGAGGAATTTCTTTCTAATATCCAATCTGAACCTACTCTTTGTCAGTGTGAAGCCATTCCCCCTTGTCCCATCACTCCATGCCCTTGGCAATACTCTCTCTCCCTCCCTGCCCCTTGGCTCGGGCCAGTTAGAGGTGGTTGATTCCCCACCACTGGTGCTGCTCACGGTGGCTCAGGCACAGAGGGGACTCTGCTCCTCTGCTGCAGGACATTGTGCTTCATCTGCAGGATGAAGGACATTGTGCTTTATCTACTGGGAGATGCTCCTGCTCTCCCACAGAGACATCATCTGCCACAAGCCCGGACATCATCCCCCAAAATCCCCGTGTCCGAATGAAAGAGCACCCGGGGCGTTCCATGAGCTGCAGCCGGGTTTGAGGTGCTCTCAGCGTCCCACTGAGTGGTTTTTTGATGAATCTTTGTGCCTCACAGTCATGGTTTTTTCCTTGTAGCAGAAAGGCAGCTCTTTATCTCCCGCCTCTGAAAAATTAATGGCTGCATCCTCCCGAGCCCACCCCGGCTCGGAGGCAGCTGAATCCTGCATGGAGCACAGTGGGAGCAGGGGCTGGCCAGGAGCAGCACAGACAGATAACAGGATCACCTGCTTCCCTGCACAACACCCAGCCATTCCTTTGTGCTGGAAAGCCCTGGCACTGGCAGGACAGCGGGAAGCACTGACAACCTTTGCTGAATCACGGCCGCTGCTGCGGTGCCAGGGCTGCACCCTTGCTAAATGCAGTATTCCCAGGAAAAGTGGACGGTCTTCTCTGTGTCGGGTGCTGTCCATGGAGCCAGCAGATAAACCTCTGACAGGTTATGTGAGCTCACTAGCTGTCAAACAGAGTCCTCTCTGGATGGCGTCCCAGGAAATTCTTGTCCAGAGGCAAGAAAGGACTAAGTGTGGCTTTCCAGGGAGACTGGGGGAGACACGAACTGCTCTCCTCCAAAAAACCCGTGGGAGGAGGAGAGGGAAGGAGGCAGAGTAAGGAGACAGCCCCATCTAAATGCAGCACAGCAGATTGGAGAGTGGTTTGCTCTGGAAGAGCAGTTGGGAAGCAAAGATGTTGATGTCTGTGGATGTGGAGTGAAGGGAGGGGATCACTGTTGGGGAAGGGGGTGGGAACTGCTCCTGCCATCCATGTTTTCCTACCAACAGACAGGGCAGTGCACTGGGAAAACTGCTGTACCCAGTCCCACGTGTGTGTTTGGGGCAGAGAGGTAATTTTTGTGTGCACACACACAAACACAGCAGAGCAGCACATTTGTGTGTCATTTTACACTCATGTTTGTGCCCAGGTTGCTTTTGTGGCCCCTACACCAGGTTAACGCTACATTTTAGTATTTCAGTGCTAAATAGACCTGTAAATAATATCATCAGCCAGATGAGACCAGGATATAATCAATATGATTCTTTGAGTGCTGGGAGGAGAGCAACCATATGTCTGAATAATTAGGGCCCACCATTTTTGGGACAAAAATTAGATACTTAATTCTTTCCTATTTTATCCTTCTATCTTTATGGGTTCTTTTAAGGGAAAGTTCTTGAACTTCCTTAGTACAGTTCTGTCAAATGGCTTTGCATCTGTCTGAGGCAGAAATTAAATTGCAGAGTCATCTTGCTAAGGCTTAAAAAAGCTGGGTGAGAGATCTGGTTACTGGCCCTGGAGTTTCTCTGGTGTGGTTCCATATATCCAGTTAATTTATTGCCAGCAGACAAAACCACAAGTTTCTTCCTTGCTCCCGGTAACCTGAGCTTTGTTGCTGGATTCATTAGCTTCTGATGGTCATGGCAAACATATGATCACACTAATAGCTGATTATTAATCACTGCCAGGGGCTGTAATTATATCAGCTATTAGGAAGTCAGCTAAAAGCACTGTCTGTCCAACCAGCACAGAGAGCAGGGAGAAACACAGTCCCTGCATCAGGGAGCAGATAATGGTTGTTGGCAACTTCATTTCCTTTTGTAGATCGATGCACTTTAGAAAAATGACTCTGAGTTTTGGCACCTTCCTGCTCCCACCCCAGTGTCCAGCCCTGTGTGCTTTGCTCTGCACTGTGGTGTGGCTTTCCGAGCCCTGCAAGAAGGATTTGGGGTTAAATCCTGCTGTTGTGCTGTCCCCTCAGAGCCACAACCAAGCGAGACCCTCTTCTCTAAGAGTCCCTGGTCCAAATCCATCTCTGGAAAGGCCTGGATTACCCCTGTATGTCACTTTTGGGTGGCTTTTAGGATGATGAGTGTGTTGTGCTAGCTGTATATCCCTGCTGAGTGTATCCACAGGGATGGAAAGCGTCCCTTCCCACGCCAGCATCACACGTTGCCAGCAGACACTTCTGCTGAGAGACTGGTTAAACTGGGAAATGCAGAGTTTTGAGCACCAGAAGTACATCTGCACTTACCCTGCTGCTCCCAGTGATCTCCTGGGACAACATGGTGTCTGGGCAGTGTCCTGTGTGCACCAGGATGGAAATCTGGGTTGGCACGTCTTAAATACCTGTGGAATTTGGGTGGAGCTGGGCAGAAGTTGCCTATATCCTCGTTGTGGGGGATGCAGTGACTGGCACATGTTTTCCTTGTGCAGGAGCAGTTAAACCTTTCCTGTGCTCCTCTTGTGTCAAGTTTTGCCTAATGGGTGTTTGTTTTTACTCTCACCAGGAACCTTTGCTGAGAGGTAGCGGAGCAGCCTCAGGACATCACCATGATGGAGGATCACGCACCTGGCCAGGAAAAACACTTCTCCTCAGGTGAGCACGCCCAGGAGATGGTGAAAGGACCTGCCTTGCCCACTGCTGACCTAAGCAGGGGGAGTGGGAACAGCGTGGTGGTGCGAGGGGTCCTTGGGGACAGCCAGGAGAGGGAATATGTGTGTGGAAGGATGTTGTGGATCATCTGGCTGCAGCCACAAGATGCTCCAGCATTTACAGTCGTAGGAAAATGCTGCTCTGGGATATCATTGCCCAGCACAAGCAGAATAACCCCTGGTATCCAGGCTAGGGATGATCTTACTGCTGCAGCTTTGCAACTGTGTGTTTGTGTTCACTCCTCGGTTTGCTATAAAAACGCAGCACTGCTTTTATTTGGGGTCACAGCTCAAGGGTGCTGCTTGCTGCCTGCTTCCCTCACCTGCACAGGGACCTGGGGACAACTGAACAGAGAGCTCTGGGAGCGGGGGCCATGCCAGAGTCTTCCTCCCCATATGTCAGACCTGCATTTCTCCAGAGGCCTTTCCTTTCTCATTCCACCACGCTCCACAACTGAGCTTGGAAACCCACACAGCGCTCACAAACCTGGTGGGACTCACTCCCGGCTACGCTCCATATAAACATCATCTTAATTTTCTTTTCTTGAGGTGCTTTGGACACCCCTTCCATAAATGGATTGCCTCTGCCCTGGAGAGAATCCATAGCATCCATTCATCCCGGGCTCTGTAACGCATTGCAGTCCGACGGCTCCTCTCAGCTTGTTTCGCTCATCAGCTTCCCAGGGATTTTGCTTCTTCTTTCCTAAGTCAGTTTTTCCAGCTCTCATTATTTGATTTGCCTGGACCCTTTGCTGAGGGGAGACTTGTGCCTCTTGCCCTGCTCTTCCAAAAAGCTTTTGCCACCACGTCTTGGCCCGGTTTGTTGTCCTGCACTGATCCTGTTACAAAGACGGGCTGGTTTGCAGTCGTGGGAGTGCTCAGCCTGCTCTGGGAGGGAGCCGAGGGCCCCAGAGAGGACAACAGTGACTCAGGAGTTGCACATCTTTCCTCCTTACGTTGCTAAGATCTCCTTGCCTGCTCCTGCCATGCTTTGCTGTTTCTGCCTGTCCGGTTCACTGGGCTTTTCTTTTGCTGATGGGTTTCCGCTCGTTCCTTTTGGTGATGACACTGGTGCTTTTGGTTGGCATTTTCACGCTTTGCTTGCTTTTAGTTCGGGTGGTTTTTTCCTCTCCAGTCACAGTTTCTCGCTGCTGTGGATCTGGGCAGTCAGAGTTGGTAACGCCCGGGCCCTAATTCGTAGCCAAGGACTTGTTGTAAGTATTTGAATGTTTTCCAGGCTATCCCCTTCAGATACCAGTCGATGATGGATCGGATGAGCCTGTTTCTGAAACATCTGACGCTAAGAGCACCCCAACTACAGAAGGTGGGAGCTCTTTGACTTACTGCTTTGGAACCATGATGGATGGGGGCGTGGTAAACCTTGCCCAAAGCCTCGCCGTGCCATTTCCTGGTGGGGTTTCTCAGGAGGAGCATCTGCACTCTTGGACAAAAGCTCTTAGTCTCATCACAGTGATGTTTGCCATGCTGCAGAATGAGATAGTGTGCTCTAAAGGTGGGCTGGAAGGCAAGAGAAGGTGAAGTGGTTATTACAGCTCAGGAAGTTGCTCGTGGTTTGTTTCCTGAAGATGTTTTACGTGGGGACTGCGAGGTCCCGTTGGCTCAGCCGGGAGCAATCCTGTGTTTTGTGACACAGGTTTGTGTCACTGTGCTCCCCCGAGCACTGACAGCACGTCCTGTTTGCTGAGTTCCCTTTTGGAGTCAGCTGGTTTTTGCCCCCTCTGTGTTTACGTGTTCATTGGTACAGTGAGATTCCTGCTGGAATGATGAGCTGGGCAGGCTCCAGACATAAAACCAAACTTCATGCTGATGGGAAGGTCATGGTGGTAGGACTCAAGCCATGTCTGTGCTGCTCTGGAGTGTTACCTGATTGTCATGTTTGTAGAAAGAAACTCATTCCAAAGTGGTCCAGAGACTTGTTTACCATTTCAATTAACTGCACCTTGTGTGTTCCTCTGGTGCTTTAATCACAAGGATCTGCCTTTGGAGACCTCAGGTGAAGGCATTAGCTTGCAAAATTGGTCTAAAAGAAAGGAGAGGTGGACAGAGATGCTGAGCAGTCCCACCCCTGCCCTGCTGGAGGTGTGGGCTGTCTGATTGTCTGTGAGGTGGCTCAGGAAATCAGGATGTCAAACCTGGCTGGTGCAGGAGGGGATACTATCCCTCTTTCCAGTTGGATTGGTACTGTCACGAGGAGCAGACATCCCTGTGGTAGATGGAGCCAAGTGTCTGTCTGTCCCAGAGCTGCCCAGAGTGCTGGGATGGTTTGTGAAGGTATCCTGTGGGAGCTGCTCTGTCCTGCTCCAGACCAGTGATGTCCCAGTGCAGACAGCATTGCTGTGCATGTGGCTCAGGCACCAGTGGCTGCTTTTGGCTGTGGATTTTCGGATAGAGTTCCTGGCAAAGCCTTCAGAAGCATAAGGAGTGTGCTGTGGCAGAGGGGCAGCTCCTGGTGTCCCTGTGATATTGGCTTTGCTGTGCCGTGCTTGGTTGTCCCCCTCCACAAGCTCCACTGGCTGAAGGGAGGGAGTTGAGTGCTTTTCTGAGCAAACAGGTTCTTCAGGCATGTCCTGGCCTCCCCAGGGCTTTGCCACCCAACAGCTGTGTGAAAGCTGCGTTGTTTTTCAGATGCCACAGCACCTTTAGTGGAGGAAGGAGACCACGAGGATCAGGGTGGTGTGGAACAGCACGGGGAGATCCCAGAAGGAACCACAGGTGAGGGAGACCAAGGTGCAGTTCCACCTCTTGATGCAGACAGAGCAGAGAGCTGGACTGGTTGGTGCTGTGAGATTACACCATGAAACCTCTCGCAGGGACACTTTGCTCCTGACGCTGCTTCTTCCTTCTGCAAATAATTCCTGGCTTACACTTGTCCTCTTGCCTTCCCCATCCTGAGGGAAACTCGCAGCTTTCTCTTCTCCTTCGCAGCTCTGCATCTGAACAATCTTTCTGTCTGGTGTCTCTGTGGTGGCTTTGCCTCCCACCTTCAGGCTGAGCAGGTCCGGGTCGTTCCAGCCCCTCTTCCAGCAGCCCCTCATCCCGGTCTCCGCAGGCCCTCGGTGCCATCCCGGAGCACTCTGGCTCTGCCCAGCCCTCGTGGGTGTCTTTGGAGTGGCAGGTGAAAACCAGGCCACTGCAGCAGCGCTTTTAAGGATAATGCAGAGGAAGTGAAGTGGCTAATTCAGCCTGAATGGCCTGTGGGGAATCACTGCACCTGGGCCTGGTTTTCCAGGGAGGGCTGGTGCCTTCCAGAGGCAGAGCAGGGAGTGACTGCAGCAGTGCTGTGTGGGTAGGAGAGGGCAGGAGCTGCGGGGAGGGGCAGGTCTGTGTGTGGACAATGAGGACGTGTCCCCTGTGCCACAGCCAGTGGCTTCTCCTGGAAGCAGCAGGCAGGACCTGAGAAAGGCAGTGGGTGAAAAAGGACTTCTGGTAATGCCAAACACTGGAACACACCCACAGCAGTGAAATCCATCTGCATCCAGTCCCCAGGCTGCTGGTGGAGCCCTGCAGTGGGACACAGAGTGGTTCACCTGCTTGCAAGGATGTGCAGACCCTGGTGCAAGATCTGACTGTACCAGGGAGCCAGTGTGTCCTGAACTCCTGGGAAAAAAAAATACAGGGAAAGAGAGAAAGTTCTAGTTTGGCTAGAGAATGTGACATGCAGGTATAATTGTTTAAGCTGGTTTGAAAGTACTCATGGAATACATTGGAAAAATTCTGAGAGAGGCAAACCATCATCACTGTGAAGAAGACTGTGCTTCTCTGATGTTCCAGTATTCCTGAAGTGTCAGATTCATATCAGGCTTGGAATTACTGGTCTCACACAGCCTTGGCAGGGTTCCTTGTGGTGAGGTGGGTAGCAGACACCAAGAAGGTGGGCTCAGGGAAGAGACATTTGTGTGAGTGCTGCTGGCTACATGAAGGGTAGGTGGGGGTAGAAGAGGGGATATAAATCTACAAGTTTCCTTGCTCCTTAACAGCCTGTTTCCTACCTGAAGGAGCTTGTACTAACCTTGCCATCTAGGATGTGTGAGTTGATGGAACACTCCTCCTGTCTGGTACAGCACAGGCTGAGTAGATCTGTCCAGATCCATCATCGGTGTGGAGTGATTTCCTTTCTGATCCTGCCCTGCTCATGATGCAGCAGAGATCATGCCCAATCTGATGGGCAGCATCAGAAGGGAGGTAAATAAATTCTCCAGGCACACACCTAAACTTAACTCTTGTTTTGATCGTATTTTTCCCCTTGTTCCTCTGACCTGGGAGCAGCTGAAGAGGCGGGCGTAGGAGCCACTCCCAGCCTGGAGGACCACGCTGCAGGAGATGACACTCAAGGTGGGTGAATCATCTGTCCCTGGGTCCAGTTATTGCTGCCCACGTGTGCAACTGGTTGCTGGTGGCTTGGGAATTTTGTTCTGTGATAAAATGCTCTGCACTGCACGGCAGTTGTGCAGTTCTCCCTGTTCCTGACAGGGAAGGATCATCCATGCTTGGAATGTTCAAACATACTCATTTCAGGTAACTGCAGCTTTTCATGCACCAGATTTCTCTCTCAGACAGCCAAAGTCGTGGTGCTTGTTTGTCCAGTTGCAAAACCAGGGCTGGAAAAGCTGATGGACAGAGCTGGGATGTGCTGTGACCAGGAGGAGCTGCTCACACTGAACAGAGACAGTGTGAGCCCTGCAAGTCACCCACGAGATCAGTGAATTGTTTGGTTACCGTGTCTTTCTAATGGAAAACATGTCTCAAACCTACTCACTGATGCCCTGACTTCAACATTAAGGGTTTGTTTTCCTTATCCCAGGCTTAGGGAATGTGAAGTGGCCAAGTCAGACACAGGGGCAGCAAGTGTTCTCAGAGCATTAATTGTGTCTGCTCTAGATGAGCCAAGAATTATCTGGGATGTCTTGGCTACCTGGAAAGCCTCTCTTGACTCTCCTCAGTTCAGACTTGATGGAAAGCTTCAGGATGGGATTTTCCCAAAACACCCAGTGCTGGCTTAATTCCGTGCCTACTGGGGCAGACTTAGGGATTCAGACTCCCCATGATGTTGCTGTCTTGCCTCCACACCACAGCCCTAATTTGGTGTACTGTTTAAAATCTCAGTTAAACTCCATTTCCTAAGGCAGTTTTCTGCACAGCAAACACAACAAACCCCTCGAGTTGGGTGGTGTCTCCTCCTCATGGCTCCATTAGTGCATTTAGACATCCATGTCTTTTACAGAGGTAAATAAGTCTTTGCCTTCTCAGCTCAGGGCAGAATTCAACTTGTCTTTGCTCTCCACACACAGTTCTGTGCTCCCTGCAGTTAAAATAGAACCTTTGCTTGCCTGGCCAGTGGTTTTTGGACTGGCAGCTCTTCTGTATTTAAAGTAGTGGTGCCACTATAAAATAGAAATCAGGACTTATCAAGAGGGGGGTGAAGTTCTCTTCTCTCTACCCTGGTTTTAGTGCTGTTTCACGCCAGAGTTTTTCTAAGACCTTTCTGTCCTGTCCTGGGATCTTTGAGCTGTCAGATATGGAGCCATACAGCGAGTTGGAGCTCTGACAAAACCTATATAGGTTCTTTATAAATTGTTCCATCTCTGAAAGTGAGCTTGTAATGATGTGCTGCTCCCTTTTAATTCTCTTTGATTCAGAGGAAAATGTGATTATTGACACACAGAGCCTTGGGTGTCCCACTGGTACCTACCTGATGTGAGGGTTTAAAAAAATACAATATTTGCAGTGCAGATGTAGCATCTTAAAATGCTTTTGGAGTCTCAGGTGGAGAAGCATCCTCTGATCCCCAGTTTGGCATTGACCCTGCGCTGCAGATTTGCCTCAAAACCCCTGAAAAATCCTGGAATATGGAAGCACAGCTCGTGAACTGCCTGTCCACATTCCTGCACTGCTGCTCATTAGTGGGTCCTTTGCAGAAGAAATGAGCCAGGTTGACCTGCTGGCTGCTGCCTGAACACTTCAAATCCCTGTGATTACAAAAGGTGTTTCTTGATGCCATATTTCAAATATTACCTTCCAATAGGGGCCAGTTGAAGCTTTCTTTTAAACCACAGTTTCCAGGGTCTTTGTGTGGTGGTTTCACTTAAACCATGACATTCTCTTAAAAAGGGGAGGACATTGATAAAAGACCAAATCGGTCTTGATTCATCTTTTCTTCTTTTAGTCTTGTTTGTTAATCTGCCAGAGCCACAGTTGTGATCTCAGGACTCCAGTGCTCTGATTTGGGCTCTTTGGTTTACCTGAGCAGTGCTCAAAAAGACCAAAGAGTCTTTGAAGCTGGGCAAATTCATAATGCAGCAGGCACATTCCTGCTAGGATGGTTGACTTTAAAGCAATTTACCTCTGTCCAGGTGAATTCTCCATTGCTCAGGGCATCTTTGCTTCAGCTGAATGAATTTCCAACAGAAAAGCTCCAGCTCGAGTGGAATATGTGACTTAACTCTGCAGTTGGGTGAAATTGTAAATGTCTGTGTCATGCACAAGATCAGCAACAACAGAACTCCCTCTTTTACACACACACACACACACCCAAAAAAGAGAGAGAGAGATCTGTGTCTCTGGGACCTCAGATTTGGGGTTTAAACGTCACTCAGCCCAAATAATGGCAGCAGTGCTGGAGCTCTGATGAGTCTCAGTGGGGGCACAGTCCAAAATCAGTACAACTACGTTTTTCCTCACAGTCCTTTGCTGCTCTGCTGGCTGATGAAATAAGAGTGGAGACGTGGGAGTGCTCTTCTCCACGCCCATGGGCAGCAGGAATGACCTGGAGAGCAGAGCAGGGATGGTTTGAGCTCTGAGAGGTGCTGTGTGTGCTTGAACATCTCCTGAAGGGACGAAAGAGCTGCAGGGATTTGGGGAGCCTGGGAAGGAGGGGAAGGGTCTGGCCTGTTTTGTTCAGGCCCTTGAGGCAGGAGGAGGTGAGCACTGACCAGCAAACCGATGGTCCCATGGTGGTGTTAGATTGGAAAATGGGGATGTTCTTGGCTTCTGGAAATTTCTACAGCTGAACCAGCTCATGGAGTGCAGGTGTGAACCTGGACACCTCCAAGGCCGGGTCCAGGCAGGAGTCTGGTCTCCCATGCACTGTGTCTGTCACTGTTTGTGATTCCCTTGGGGATCAGAGTTTCTTTAAAGGCAAAAGCCACTGTGGAAGTGAGTTGTCTGTTCAGTGGGGCGGTGTGGGACTTCTTTGACAGTAGAAATCCTCAGTCTCTCAGCATTACATGACTGTTTGACATGCCTGTGCTAATTCTTTGCCCCTGCTTCATACCCCACGTCTTCAACTCCAGGGGAGCCGAGCTCTCCAAAGCTCCAGCCCGGCCCTCAGGAGCGTGTGGGAGAGGCAGTAAAAGGAGACAGCCAGCCCCCAAAGCAGGGACCTGGGGGCCTTCAGCAGCCACTCCTGTCACGTGAAACGAAGGCTCCAGCAGCAGCAGCTCCCACCAGAATTGAGGTCACCATCCCAATCCCCCTGGATATGTACCAAGGCTCCAGAGCATCCGAAGGCAGCGGGGAGCTGTGGGATCATCGAGGCAGAGAAGGCATTGGTGTGGAGCCAGAGCTGGGCCGGGATGTGCTGGCAGGAGCAGGGGGCACAGGTGACCATAAGGATGGAGCACCTCCTTTGTGCACCAAAGCCCCATTAAAAGAAGATTCCAGTGGGCAGGAGAGGGATGAGGATCGTGATATTGATGAAACTTCTGAGCGGGATTTGCTGTCCCTGGTGGGTCAGCAGGTTTCACCAGGACCTGAAACAGGCTCGTGTCCAGCAACAGCCAAGAAGACTCTTGAAGAATGTGATAGAGAAGAGTCCAAAGATGCCCCCAGAGACACCCCGAGAGAGGCATCTGTGGCTGAAACTCAGTCACAGAAAGCAGGAGAGGACCAAGAGGAGAAGCAACAACCACTGGGGGGTGAAGGAGGTACAGAAGTCACCCCATCAGAACCTTCTGAAACCATCTCCCAAAAAGAAGCTGAGCCCGGGGAGGGAGAAGATTCTGGACCCTTGCTAGAAACAGCCAAACTCCCTTCTGAGTTAAAAGGTGATGTGGAAGACAAAGCTGCTGAGGTTGTGCCAGACACAGGAGAGTGCCAGACGCCCCAGAAGCAGCCCTGTGCCCCGGCTGCAGACAAAGCCAGCCGTGTCCCTCTCCTCAAAGGTGTGTGCTCCGTTTGCTGCCCTCGGCTCACCGGTGGCTTGCTCCCAACGAGGCTGCCTGATGCAGCACCACAGCTTGCTGCCACCTCGAGTCCTGCTGCTTGGAAATGGCCTGGATCTGCGCTGTGAACTGATCTCCAACGCGCCGCTGCTGCTCCCTCCCAGTCCTTCCCTCCCTGTTTAATCCCGGGTTGGATTCCCAGGCCCTTGCGCTGCCGTTTTGCGTCCCTTGCATGGTGCTGGCGTGTCCCCAGTCGTGCTTTTTTTTCACCTGTTCTTAGTTTGATTTCCTTGGATCTGTTGGGTGGGCGCCTTAACTCCCACCTGGCACCTTCCCAGAGGAGAGGAGGGACCGGATGGACGTGGTTCTGGCCTGTTGGAGCGGGGCTGACCTGGCACGCGCTGCGGCTCGTCCCGGCAGGACACGTCCCATCTGGTTTGCATGTCTGGTCCAATAACTCTTGGAACTGGCTTTCCTAAAGAGGAGGGAGGAGGAAAAAAAGGCAAGGGTGGCAGGTCTAACCATGGAGAAGCCCCGCACTGATCCTGTTTCTTATACTTTCCCCTTCAATATCCACTGCTGACTGCTGCTGCGGGCAGGGTCTGCAGCCAGCTGGGCCTTTCCCACTGCCAGGCATGTCCATTGCTCTTCCAAAGCATCCTGCTCCAATCCCAGCTCTGGATGGGATGTCCCTGGGCATTCCAGAGCATTTGGGGGGTTCAGTGGGAGCTGCCTGTGTGCGTGGAGGCATCTAACAGTCTGTGGGGCAGGGCTGGGCTGTTCTGGGTGAAGGTCTGAGTTCGCCGCTGAATGCACGAGCATCCTTTAGATCTCTCCTTTCTCCAAGGCTGTTTTCCACCCCTCCCGAGGCTCAGGAATGTCACTGGAGGCCCTGCTCAGTGTCCAGATGATGGTTTTGTCATGAGTTGTGTTAACACAGCAGGACACACGTTGGTGTCTCACAGTGTTGTACCTCAGCTCTGGCTGCCCAGGGTCTATCCTGGGGGAGGCTCTGCTTCTCCCCGCAGTTCCACATCCCAAAAGCTGGCTTGGCTGCCTCCATTATCCTGGGAATGCTGCTCTGGGTTGTGGCAGGCAGAACATGCTCTTTGCTGCGTGGGGCTCACGAAGAAATTGTTGATGGAGCTTTTTCCATTGGAGCTAAAGCTCATAACATATTTCTCGTTGTTCCCTATGGAATTGGCAGTGGGAAGCTTCCCACGTGTGCTGCAGGGCACTGGCATGGCTTGCACTGGAGCCTGGAATGATGGTGGGGTGGGGATGCATTGCCCAGAGCCAGCCAGCTTCTGATTCAGTAGGAGAAATTCAATTATTTAATGGTCTTTCCCTTCAAAACAGAGTTACTCCATGGCTGTTCAGCTCCAGCCTTGATCCAATCTGCAATGTAACTGAATTTGGGAGGGGTCAGTGTTGGATTAACAGCATTGTCCACGTCACCAGGAAAGGGCTGACCTCCCAGGACAAGTTTCCAAACATTGGGAACAATATCAGCAGCTTTTCCTCCCTGTCTGGAGAGGAATTAGCTGAAGACAGGGAAAAAGGGCTCTGTTACGAGTGCCTTGTACTACAAAAAGTACTTCCTCCCCATTTTTAATCTCCTAATTAGACTGACCCAGGTGGAAGGGGCACTGTGCTAGGAGGCAGAGAGCAGTGTGTCAGGAGAGATGGGAATTAACAACATCCAGGGATAAAAGTGCTCTGCAAAGGCAGCACACTGAACAGCCACCTTAAATGAGGTCACGGTGCTACTGGATTGGGACATCCTTTGGTTTGAGTCTTTATTTATATAATTGCTAGAACCAGTGGGGGTTTTAGAGAGCGAGACTCGTTGAAGGGAACTTTCTGTCCTAAACTGGATGGATCCTGCTGGATCTGAGTGCAGATCTGGGCAAAATGCTCTCACAGAAACCTCGTTGGTGTGTCTCGTCTCAGTGGTGACTAACATGGATCATCTGTTAACCCAGAAAGAATGTGTTTACCATGGGGAGGTATTTCTGCAAGAAATGGTGACTTGGTAATATATTTCTAAGAACAGAGTTTAGTTTAAGGGTGAGCAGGGACAGGGAACAGCCCCTGGCACGTGTGTTGTCCTCTCTCTGGAGTTCCTGACCAGTCCCAAGAGGTGTAACTGTGTGTTTCCCTTTGTCAGGTCGTGTTGACAAGGAAGGGACCGAAGCTGATGAAAAGAAACCCAAGGTGAGCTAAAAAATAAAGCCAGAGGTGACACCTGTGCATGTTCCTGGCTGCTCTCCTGCTCTCCTGGTCTGCAGTTGTCTCTCTTAGGAAACCTTTCCCATTCCCTTCCATTCTTCCATTTGTTTTTCAGCAGTGTTTTTATTTTTTTTTCCTCACCTTGGTTTGGATGGTGCAATCCACGGGGTTCTTTGAGGGTGAGGAAATGATCCAAACCTAAATCAAACATGTGGCTCACGGGGTTGGGTGTGGGGTTGGAGAAATCATTTTCTCAGCCCAGCACTGGAAAGCAGCAGCTGCCTTTGGGGCAGACTCAAGGCTGCACTGGGTGTACTGGGGATGAGCAGCATGACAGTGAAAAGAGCAAAACATGTAATTAAAGCATTAAATTAAATAATCTAGGCCTTGCAGATCATAGAATATCCTGAGTTTGAAGGGATCCACAGGGATCATCAGCAGAGTTTGAGATTCCAGAGGTTTAACGGTATCTGTCACATGGGTAATTTGGAGGAGTTTTAGTTCATCTGGCCATTAGCTTGGTTAGTGCCTGAGGGGGATGATGGACAAGCTGAGGGGCAGTTTAAGGGGTAAAAAATTGAAGGTGAGGAATAGAATTATTTGCAAACAGTGTGAAATTGGATTTTTCTCTAGGGAAGTCTGGCAGGGTCGTATCAGGCTGAGCATTAGACGTGGTACCAAGCCTAGATAAAACCAGTGCTCTGGTTTTGACAGAGCAGGTGTAATGGGGTTGAAAGACCTGGGAGCAGCCACCTGCATCTCTCAGAAATGCTGATGTTGGTAGTGCTGTTCCTTTGCCAGGAAGGAGGAGGGTTTGGGAGTGAATTGAGGGTTCTGATGGTGAAATGTGCCCCTGGTGTGGAAGGCAGAAGCAAGGACAGGCTGTCACAGGGTGACACTGTCCCCAGGAAGGGGCTCGAGTGTCACTGCACCCTGTGGAAGGAATAGCTGGGGTATCCCATATTTGGTGGAGCAGCCACGGGGCCCTGGCAGTGCCACCTAACACCTATCCCCCACCCAGCTCTGCATTGCACCTTCTAATCCTATTTTATGTTGCTGATCCCATTTTGTTTCCCTCCCATGCTGATTTTTTTTTTGTTTGTTCCCATTTTATTTTGTTTCCACGTTTAAGAAATCCTCACCTTCCACTGCCAAACCCCCAGGGGACAGACCCTCCATCCCCCCCCACCGACACACCTCCTCTAGCACAGCCCCTCCGAAACCACCCTCCAGCCCTGCTCCTGCCTCTAAGCGAGTCCCTCCTGCCACACCCCGAGCTGCCAGTACAGGAACGCCAGAAATGAAAGCCAAGGTAAGGAAATGGGATGTGAGAGAGGCAAAGGGGAATACCTTAAAGCATTCCTGAGGGATGGTGCTTGGCTGAGTCTCCCTGGTCCGTGGAGAGGGTGGGATGTGCCTCACCTTCCCATGGCCACGGCCAGGTTTGGCTCCAGTTCTGGTGCTGGAAGGAACCAGCACGTGGAGCAAAAATAGCTCCTCGCTGCAGGGTGTTACCTGGTCTCCCTGAGGCATTTCCAGGTCCCTTTAAGCTCTTCCTTGTTTTGCAGCTTTATCTGTGTTTCACGGCAGCGTTGGCAGCAAACAGCAGATGTGTTTGCAGGGTGCCACAGCCAGACCTGCTGGGTGCTGCTGTAGGAAATGCTCACACACCCAGCTCTGGGTTCCCTTTGCTGTGTTCACTCACACAAATACACCTATGGGGAGGGAAAGCACAGGGATTGCAGGTCACACAGGATCAGAGCATCACAGGATGGTTTGGGATCTTAAAGCTCATCCAGTGCCACCCCCTGCCATGGGCAGGGACACCTTCCACCAGCCCAGGTTGCTCCAAGCCCCATCCAGCCTGGCCTTGGACACTTCCAGGGATCCAGGGGCAGCCACAGCTTCTCTTGGCAACCTGTGCCACTCACGGATGATGGGATGTGATTTTACTGGTTCTGCTCTGCTTCCCTGCTGCCTTGGGACCAGTCAGCCTGTAAATTTTCAGTTCCATGTTTTCCATGAGCTTTTACACTGACCAGCACTAAGTAGTCACCAGAAGGAGGATGTGTGAGTTCAGAGGTTTGAGAAGGATTTCTGTGGGACCAGGAGACCATAGATAGATATTGCAGTTTACCTGAAGTTACAGGTGATGTAGGTGGGGATATCTGAGGTGCTTCCCAGTGTTTGAAGCCCGGCACTCGACTCGTGGATAAATTTATCTTCTGTGTGAAATTGTAGCAGAACAGGGGAAACAAAGTGATGAAATTTAGAGAACAAAGGAGCCGAACATACTCTTGAATTTTCATGTATCTTCTGTAACAATTTTAGCAGAACAGGGGAAACAAAGTGACGAGATTTAGAGAACAAAGGAGCTGAATATACTCTTGAATTTATGTATCTTCTGTAACAATTTTAGCAGGGCAGGGGAAACGAAGTGATGAAGTTCAGAGAACAGAGGAGTTTTGCACACCAAACCAGGGGTGGTGAATGGGGCAGCTGAAGCCAAGGGCTCACCTGGGAAAGGTCACAGCCACTCCACCAGCCCAGGAGTGGCTGTGCCTTGGCTGTGGCTGTGCCCTGGCTGAGGCTGTGCCCAGGCTGTGGCTGTGCCCAGGCTGTGGCTGTGCCCCGACTGTGCCCAGGCTGTGGCTGTGCCCTGGCTGTGGCTGTGCCCAGGCTGTGGCTGTGCCCAGGCTGTGGCTGTGCCCTGGTTGTGGCTGTGCCCAGGCTGTGGCTGTGCCCAGGCTGTGGCTGTGCCCAGGTTGTGGCTGTGCCCAGGTTGTGGCTGTGCCCCGGTTGTGGCTGTGCCCCGGCTGTGGCCGTGCCCTGGCTGTGCCCTGCTTGTGGCGGGTGCTGTTGCAGGAGACAAGGTGTGAACCGGCACATTCCAGGTGTGGGGAACCCTTGGGCTGCCAGGGTGTAGGAAGCAGGGGGGTCTCGTGTGCTCTGACCCGTGAGGGGTGACAGCCCATCCCTGACAGACCCCCCCTTGTGTCCCCAGGGCCCGGAGATGAGGGGTGGCACGAAGACGGGCACGCCGCGCTCGGGGCAGGCGCAGAGGAACTCCACCAACGCCACGCGCATCCCGGCAAAGACCCCCACGGCCCCCAAGACCCCTCCCAGCTCCGGTAGGTGACGGGGGGAGCCGTGTCCTGCTCCCGCCACCGCGGTGGGGATGCCCTCAGTGGTGCTCCCAAGTTCCCCGTGCAGCTCTGGGGGGTTAATGGCCAAACTCACAGCCCCGAGCAGGGGCACGGCACAGGCTGAGCTCTGCCAGGGGGTTGGGAGCTGCTCAGCCCTCTCCTGGAGCTGGGATGAGCCCTCTGGAGTGAGGCTTTCCAGGTGCTGCTCTGTTCACACATGTGTAGGAGAGGGCAGTTGCTTTATCCCTTTGGGATACCCTCCAATTTGGAAGGTTTAGGCAGCTCCTTTTTAATCCATCTACTCCTTTTCTCTCTGACAATATTTCACAAAGAGCAGGGGCAAGAGGATCAATTCTTCGATTGCAGGAATGGAGATTAGCCCATTATTATTCTCAGAGAAGAAAATCCCAGAAAGCATCAGGCATTGTGAATTTCCATTAAAATGGTGCATTTCACTGAATATACATATATATATATTTCATACTTAACTGGAGCTCCATAAAACCTTAAATCAATTAATTTTCCAGCTTTATTATGTTTAAGCATCTTTCTCATTCACTAAACAGGCAGAAAGGAGCAGAAAAAACCACCTCCTGCAGCAGCAAAGACTGAGAAAGGTGATGTTTAAGGGTTTTCTTTTCTTCTTTTGTTTGCTTTTCAAACTGGGGACGGTTCTAAGCTGCTCAGCAACCAGCCTTATTTAATTACAGAGACAAAAATATGTAAAAATGCTTCCAAATTTCTAATAGAAATGTGTTTTTGAGTGTCTTTTGTCTGTAATTCGTCATGCATGCCAATGCCACGCTCGGGTGGGGAGTTTTACCAGTGACCCAGGCAGTGGAGACCATCTTCCTTCTGGGATATTAGGAAGTTGCCTTTAAATCACAGTTTTTCCTTCAAAATGGAGTAGAAGAAAGCGCAGCCGTGCACTGGGAGTAGCAGGGTGGGCTCTGGGACCGGGGACATCGACCCCAAAAAGGCAGGGAGCGAGCAGGGAAGGGGTGGTGTGTGCCTGGGTTGCCCAGCCGTGCTCACTCCCTGTCTGCAACCTCCAGGTGAGCAGCCAAAGTCTGGAGACAGAAGCGGTTACAGCAGTCCCGGCTCCCCCGGGACTCCAGGCAGCCGTTCCCGCACCCCCTCTCTGCCCACCCCACCAGCCAGGGAGCCCAAGAAGGTGGCAGTGGTTCGCACCCCACCGAAATCTCCGGCGTCTGCCAAGACCCGCATCCAGCCCTCGGCCGCGCCCATGCCCGACCTGAAAAACGTCAAGTCCAAAATTGGCTCCACTGAAAACCTGAAGCACCAGCCCGGAGGTGGCAAGGTAAACGTGGACTCTGCTTCCCCAGGGGCCTGGCTGTGGGGGCAGCGGGTGCTGGATGCTCCCTCCGGGATGGGAGAAGCCTCCCTGGAGCGGCAGCAGCTGTGGGCAGTGGGCAGACAAACCAGCTGGGCTCCAGCCTGGTGATGGGTTTTGGGTTGACTGGGTTGGGGGCTTGGCCTGGAATTCCTTGCCTGGCTTAGTAAAGCTCAGCTGTCCCATGGAGAGCTCGTGGTGTGGGTCTTGTGGAGTGGCTTCCAGGGAAATGGCATTCCCTCGTGGTGTCCAGTTAGGGACAGGTTGTCCCTAGTTAGGGACAGATTGTCCAGTTAGGGACAGTGGGTTGTGGCCTGCAGCCCTCAGGAGTGGTGGGATCAGGGCTGTGTTTATGGATTCTACACTGTGACTGGAGCAGTCCCTCTGTTAGTGAACAGGAGGATGGTCTGTCTCCTCCTCCTGAGGGGCCCAGGCTTGGACCCCAAGTTTTTCCAGACACTGGGATTTTGGATCCAGCTCTGTTGTCAAGGGTTTGGGTTGTGTTCTGCCATCAGGTGCTGTGTGGCTGCATGGGCAGTGTGGCATGGCCAGAACTGGTGGCACTTTTATCCTTTCAACCACTTTTCACTCCCAGAGAAGCTGTTTCACCAGCAGCAAAGTGACCTCTGTGTTCCAAGTGCTTGGGAATGAGGGTCTTGGGTTAAATTCTGCAAGCCTGGCAAGGGACACTGCCTGTCCTGGGGGTGACACTGCCTGTTTTGAGGGGACACTGCCTGTCCCAGGGGTGACACTGCCTGTTTTCAGGGGACACTGCCTGTCCCAGGGGTGACACCGCCTGTCCCAGGGGTGACACTGCCTGGCTCTCAGACCTTGCAGAGCCATAAAAACCATTCCCTGAGTGCTGTGCATGGCATTTTGTGTGACCTCCATGGCTCTGAATGTTCGCCTCTGGCACAGGGGGGAGGCTTTGGGACGGCTCCTCTGCACCCCTGGAAGTGGCAGCCTGCTTTTCCATGGCCTTCCGGGCATTTTCTGCTGTGGCTGGAGATTTACTGGCTTTGTGCTACAATCCAGTGGGGCTCTGGAGCCTGGGCAGGGCCGTTGGTCATGGGCAGAGCAGCACGTGTCCTTTTTGGGGCCTCAGCCCTCCTGCCCACTTAGCACAAGTCATGGGATTTTCCTCCCACCCCCACAAACCCCGTTCTCCCGGGATTTTAGAAGGAACCCTTCTGTTCACTGGAAACTGGTTAAATTATTCACTCGTTCTTTTTAATCCAGCTTTTACAAGTTGGGGTTTTTTTCTCTCTCTGCTTCTCTGTCAGACGTGTTTGTTGTTGTTACTGAAAGAGTGGGAGCAGCTGAATTTGGGACAATTCCTTGCTCTTTGCAGGGGAGAAGGGCTGGGTGCTCTGTTGGGGGTTCTGTAGGACACAAGGCTGCTCTCAGCAGAATGGTTGCAGCTGGAGCAGGAGGGGCTGATCCCACCAGTTTGATTTTAGGCTGAAATCAGAAATGGGTTTGGAGCCTGCTCTCCGTGCAGATTTCAGACCCCCAGCCTAGGGAAGCAAAGGAACATGGGGAAACACACACCAGGAGCCAGCAAAGCCATGTCTCCTCCAGTGTTTCTGCATGGTCTGAGCACTTTTGTTGTCGCTGGATCACCGAGTGCTGCTCTGGCAAAGCCTGGTCTAGCAGAACTGGGTCGTGGTTTGTGGGATTAGTTGATGTGAATCTGGAAAATCATGCTTCAGGCACATACCAGCCTTGGTGCTTCTCATGCTGGAGAAGCAGGGAATAGCAGGGAGCTCTCCTGGCAGCAGCAGGCCTGGGATGGAATGCTGGGATGGAGATGAGGTGCCCGCTCAGCCGGCTTCGGGGACGGGGCCATCCGGGGCTGAGGGATGTGACACTGCAGGATGGTCCCTCTCACGGGGTTGTGCTTCAGACAGGCTCAGGCCTGCAGGTGGTTACCTGCATTTACACCTGTGTAGGTTGTAAAGCCACTCCAGAGTGCGTGGGGGAAGGAGCAGGGACAATCTTTATCCTTGTTTTGCCTGGAATAGCTGACGCAGGAGGTTGCTCCAGAGTAACTGCCCTTACACAGCCAAGTGGGGAGAACGAGCCCGAAATAGAACCAGCTTCATTAGCACAAAAATCCGTGTGTGGAGGGAAGGCTTTGGGGCTGGAGGGTGTAGCTGGCGTGGCACATGGTTCCCATGTGGCACTGAGCTGTTTCCAGCCTCTCTCCCTTAGGAGATGGCGTTGGGAATATGCCACAGAGCTGCTGCCTTTGGGGAGTGGGCTGGGCTGCCCCTGTCATCCCACAGGGCTTAAGGAAACTGCAGGTGTGGGGCTGCCTCCCTGGGATGGGGCTGCAACCCTGGCATGGGATTGCAGCCCTGGCCTAGGATTGCATCCCTGGTGTGGGGCCTCATCCCTGGAATGGGCTGCATGCCTGGCACTGCATCCCTAATGTGGGACTGCATTCCTGTCTTGAGACCACATCTCTGGCCTGGAACTGCATCCCTGGGATGGGACCGCATCCCTGGCATGGGACTGCATCCTTGGGATGGGGCCACATCCCTGGCGTGGAACTGCATCCTTGGGGTGGGGCCACATCCCTGGAATGGGACTGCATCCTTGGGATGGGGCCACATGCCTGGCATGGGACTGCATCCTTGGGATGGGGCCACATCCCTGGCGTGGAACTGCATCCCTGGCAGTGTTTGCTTTCTCTTGGTAGCTGTAGAGGGAGTATGAGCCCTGTGCAGAGCAGAGCTCAGACGTCTTTTCCCACTGCTGGACACGTGGCTCCTGCTCTCCAGCCTGGCCAGCAGCACTGCCCGAGGCCGGGTGTGCCTGTCCCAGAGAGGGATCAGGATGCCCAGGTGTACCTGTCCCAGAGGGAGATCAGGATGCCAGGCATGGGAGCTGGGGCTGGGCAGGCAGTTTTCTCTCAGCTCCATCCCTCCTCCTTCCACAGGCTCTGCAGAAGCCGAGTCTCAGAGCACTGTGGAGTCTCAGTGCCTTCCAGCGGGTTTGCTGCCCAGCAAGTTCCCCGTTCTGTTCAGTGAAAGAAAATGGGCTGAGCTCATTTCTGGCTGGTGTTTGTGGCCTGGGAACCAGGGCTGCATCACTACCCAGACGTGTCCAGTCTCTAGCTATAACCTGCCCACCTCCATCTTCAGTTTCCAGCCCACAAGTACACAAATCTGTGCAGCAAGGCAGAGATTCTCCTTTTTGCTCTCAGCACTGAAAGGCAGGTTCCTGGTTTTAGGGATATAACACATGGTCAAGCTGCAGATGGTCACGTTGTTTCTCACGCTCTTTTCTGGCTACTAAAGGTGCAGATTATTAATAAGAAGCTGGACTTTAGCAGCGTTCAATCCAAGTGTGGCTCAAAGGATAATATCAAACACATCCCGGGCGGAGGCAGTGTGAGTACCTTCACACTTT